GAATCAGCCTCTCCTAGAGATGAGCCCTCTTATAGGTTGTCCAATACAGACTGGTCATCCCTCAAACCATAGACATGCAAACAACAAAAACAGACTCAGCAGGTTGCATTTACTTTTGCATACATATGTGTGTATATGTATATATGTAGCAATAATCAAAGAAAAGAGGTGCTATCAACTGGAGAGTACAGGGGACATGGAAGGGGTTAAAGGAAAGGTACCTGGCAGCAACTGCAGTACCTGGAGGGAGAAAAGGGAAGGAGGAAATGATGTAGTTCTATTTCAATTAAAAACATGTATTTAAAAAAAACTGAGAATGAAGTCTAGTGTGGCGGCACACACCTTTGATTCCAGTACTCAGGAGGCAAAGGCAGGCAGATCTCTGTTTAAGGTCAGTCTTGTCTACAGAACTAGTGCTAGAACAGCCAAGGTTCCACAAAGAAACCGCCTTTAAAAAAATCAAACACCAAACAAAACAAAAACCCCTACCCCCACCACCAAGGGTGGTGAGAAAGGAGGGAGGTAAAATATAGGTGGACAGTAAGTTGTGAGGAGGCTGAGGTATTTGCCCAGTCAAAGCACCACAGAGAAGAACCCTCTGGTCCCCTGCTGCAGCAGGCCCAAGGGCATCTGGCCCTCCCTGGACAGGCCTAAAGCCTCAGGGATGTCAGAATTCTCTAAGTCCACTCTGCTCTAATATCTTGGCCACACTTGTGATTCTATCATGTCCATTATCTTCACTGTGCTTATTCCACACCATTTTTTTGTTTGTTTGTTTCACTTTTCTGTTTTTTGTTTTTTAAACTCCCTCACTCTTCTCCAACTTGACTGGCTAGCCCAGGGGTGGGGGTGCAGACCCCACGTCTGGCTTTGCTCACCAGCCTACTTCACGTGGGTATTTCTCACTTGACAGACAGCAAGGAAAAGTGCTCACTTACCTTTACTAACTTCTCATTCCACTGCAGTCTTGTGCAGACACTCTTCATAGGAAGTTAAGTCAACACCTAAAACTACATGGTATCACTGTGTCCCTTCATCTTCTCAATTCCTGCCTTTCCCACTTCTCTGTTTTACTCAGTTTTATAAAGCCATTCCAAATCACTGTACAACTGTATCGTCCTACATTACCATATGTGAACAACCCTGACAGAAGACCAAGACCCAGAATATGACCGTCCATCAAAAGACCCCATGGAAGTCTAGCGATGCTGCTCAAGGACACTACTTATGCTAGCAGCATAAATAAGGAATGCTTTGCAAGTGGGATTATTTCCTCTAAAGATTCAATATAAAAATATACAGGGCACAGAAACAGGACACAGTCATTAATAAGTTCCAAGCTATGTGCTATAGAATCCCCAGATCTCTGTCAGGCACCAGGCTGAATACCCGACTCCACCATTTTCTTCAGGATTCCTGTGGATGATAAAGTCCACATTCTAGTTACCACCGTATTCTCATCAAAATTCTACCACTTCAACTCTCAGTGAAGGTGCCAGGCCCTCACTGTTTATACCGGAATGATCTGTATGGCTTGTTATTTACCTCTGTAAGCTTTCAACTACTATTTCAACAAGCTATTGCCAAGGCGACTGGCTGCTCTCCACAAACTGACAGTAAGGGTCTATTGCTGAAGACAACACTTACATACCTCACTGAACACAGGAAGCCGAGCCTAGGGGCAAACCAAACACTCTTGTTCTGCTAAAGGAACACAGCAATAAAATAGCTCCAAATGACATTCTTTTATACCAATCGATCAGTACCTCAATCAGCCATCACCAACAAAGCTTCTTCTTGCAGTGGATGGCAACAGAGACCCACAACTGGACAGTGTGCATGGGGTAAGAAAATTTCGAAACACTCAATCCTAAAGGGGATGTCTTCATCAATCCCTCCCCCCATAGCTCAGAGACCTATGTGAAAAGACTGGAAAAGCCAGAGATGACAGAGGACTCTATGGAAATTGTCTCCAGACACAGCAGGACTGATACACATATGAACTCAGGGATTGCTGAGAACATGCACAGGACACTGATACACATATGAACTCACAGAGACTGTGAGACCTGTATAGGTTCATGTCAGATGAGGCCCTCACTGAGAGGGGGAAGTGGACACAAGTTCCCAGCCCTAACCAAGAAGCTATCTGCAATAGATCCCACTGGCTATATTATCCGCACTTCAGAGTAGGCCCCATGCCCAGGAGTAACAGCAGATGGTCAACACAAAATAAACTCCATGGTATTTTTGTAGACTTTCTGTCTCATTGGCGTGGGAAGTCCTTCTGTACATGCATTGCTTTTATTGGTTAATAAAGGAGCTGTTTTTGGCCAATGGCTTAACAAAGTATAGCCAGACTGGAAGAGATACACATATATGTATATATAGAGAGAGTAGGCAGAGTCAGTGAAACACCACGTAGCCGCCAGAGGGGAAAGATGCAAGATGCCAGCTGGAGTCTTGTGGTAAAATATAAAATAATAAAAATGAGTTAACCAAAGATGTAAGAGCTAGCAATACACTAAAGTAATTGGCCAAGCAGTGATTTAAATAATATAGTTTTTGTGTGATTGTATTCCGGTTCTGAGCGGCCAGGAACAAGCAAGCAGCCTCCTACAACATCTCATATTGCTCTGTTTGCACTTTTTATCTTACTGGTCTTTTACTTGTATATTTTGGTTTCCGAGTTTGCATTTTTGTAGGTTATCTTGTGTGTGTGTGTGCATGCAAATGTGCATACACGGGTGAGTTTCGTGGGTTTTTTTGTGGTTTATTTTTTAAAAAGAGAAAGCAAGAGCATGGAGCTGGGTGGGTAGGCAGGTGAGGGGAGAAGTTCGGGAGGGGGACATGTACTCAGACTGACTACACTGTATAAAAAATTCTAAATAAAGAATGGCAAAAAAGGAAAATGTCAGCAAATCTTTTTATGGAAAATATTTCTTTATAATGTATTTTAACAGTGTATGCTCCAATGTTAAAATAAATGTTAAAATGCTATTTCAAGCATCTAACTAGAAGTTCATGGTTGATCAGGAAAAGATTTTAAAAATAATTTTTGCTTATAACTAGTTATGTATAGTTCTACAATGTTTTGGTTTTCTTCAAAAAAGAGACTAATTTGGGTTTTTTTTTCAAAATTTGTTTCAGGGACATAAAATTTGTAGAAGACAGGAATTGGGAGATTTGTGCTTTGATCTTATCTCTCATAGTTGGCCATTTTTGCTAGAGAGATCCAAATACAAAAACAACACACAAATGTTAGGACTGGTGAAACAAAACAGATTGTGAGCCATGTTCAGGTACGTACAGATACAACAGGAAATAAATGTGCCTGACAGCCCATGCCAATGTGCACGCCTTAACCGGCTCTTCTCCCCAAACATCCACGGTTCAACCACTCTTCACCCCATCCCAAATCTTACTATCTTGTTTGAAGTCTGTCTTATAGGCGGCGCTGTGTGCACCTGTGCATGTGGAACCTTAACTGATCTGGTGTTCCTTGAACCTGTCAAACATACTCTCTGAACTTATTTGCTATTCCCTCTGTCTAGAAGGTTCTTCCCATATTCCTAGAGGTAGCTCAGTCCCCTAAAGTTTCTGTTAAAGTGGCACAGAGAGGTGACACTGCATCGTATAAAATCACCCGACCCTTATCTACAATCTGTTCCCTTTCAAGCCATTCACCGTCAAATATCCCTTCCCCGGATGTAAATTCCTTGATCAGAGATTTTATTTTGGGCACTCTTGTATCACCTGTATTTAGAACTGTACCTGACATATAGTAGATAATCAATAAATGTTTTCAATAACAATTAATTATTAACTTTTCAAATTAAATACAAGGCAAGGGAAATTAACCACAGAAGGCATTTCATAGTTAACTGCTAATTGAATGGCATGAGCCAATTACTATCCCAGAGGAATACCCATCAAAACCACGACAGCTTTTCCACAGTATATGTGACCAGACCTGATCGCAAGACCCCACAGGTATCAGTATGTTCAAGCAGCATTCAATAAAATTCTGTTTTTAAAATTAAATTATGATTAAATTATATGGGACATAAAATATATCATTTTACTTTCCAGGTGATTGTATCTGGCTCATCTGTTTGAAACCGTGAGTATGAATTCTATCTGCTCAGCAGGGGAGAGGAGCTCAAAGGAAGCTTTGACAAAAGGCAGTGCTGCTACATGAGAAACTGACAAGGCTTTGGGGTCGAATTCGGGTCCACCACAGTGGTAGCTGTGAGCCGGTCAGTGAAACGTACTTTTCACGTACATAAAATGTGGAGAGTCCGAATACTCTCTCCCCTATACCTTCTGCAAACCGCTTCAAGATACCAGAAAAGCTGTAATGATTTAGGTGCATACAGCATGGAGTTTACAACGTCTGACCAACAGTAAAGCAAGTCTACCGGAATTAGTTTCACTGAAATAAAATCGTACTAGCAGAAAGCACAGACGCGTAGACTCATACAAGTGATTATAAAAATGTCTCCTTCCCTCTGATAAGGCAGGAGACAATGAAGTCTTAGAAACTCTTCAGCTATGGTGCTACTTCAACAGTCTCAAACATGACAAGTTTCAGAATTAACAAGTCAACTCCCTAAAAGACAGGTGCTGTGCACAGGACCCCCCAGGAAGTGGGTCTGTGGACAAGCTGCATTCCTACTAGCTTCTCAGGAAATGCTGACAATGGTATGACCATATGCAAGTCTAACTCCTTTAGGATCATTTAAAAAGACCTGAACTAGTTCACTTTTTGCAAATTCATAGTCACTTAAAGCCCTTTTAGAACATTTTATAGTCCGTTAGGATTCAACTGAAAGGAAAACATGCTCATGACATCCCAGTGACAAAGATTCTGAAAGTTAACTTGGAAATAATTCTGAGACTGCTTTGTAAAACTTAAAATCCAGACAAAAACAAAACACAGCAGTTTTAAAGGAACAAACAGAAATAAATTTTGATGAGCAGATGACACAAATACGTACATGTATGGAGGCATTCTGTCACTGTTGTGGGCTTGATCAGATAGCCTTTACAGATGTAGCAGGTGATGTAAGGATTGAAATCTTTCACCAAGTGTTTCCTTTGGGTAGCCATTCGTGGTTTGCCGGCGTCACCAGTTCAGGCAAAGAGGGGCACTAAGTGGATGCAAAGCTGGTCCAGTAGCTGGCGCAATGTTCTTGTAGGCGTCCTGAGGCATGAGCATGAACACCCAGCCTGCGCAGGGTCACTGACCATCACTCCTCCTGGCAGGGCTGCCTTTTCATATCTGTTTCCAAAACCATAGAGAGAAGGCATCAAATTCCTTGGACTTTGTTTAACATCAGGGTCAGTAAGTTTGCAGGGTCTAAATTTGGAGAGCAGAACACAACCTTTATTGTACTATTAACCTGTCAATCTATTATAAGTTAACTGAGAGTAACAAACTCACCCAGTTCTGAAGCTCAACTATCACCTCCACTCACGGCACCAAAAGCTACTGAGTCCAGTTAACAGCACTCCTCAACAGCACTGCATTTTACTGTCTCCCAGGAGCTTCTACCAATGCAAGGCACAAAGGCTCAAACTGAAATCACTGACCCACCTACCAAAACTCTGTCTACTTGGCACTCGCCAACTAGTGAACACTCAAATCAAGTTGATGTCCATTCCAAATAGATGCCCTCCAGACAGGCCACCTTCTATTCTGCTACCAGCTCTGCTCTATCCATTACATTTAGAGCTTCTCAGAAAACGACAGCGCTTCCTCTTACTAGCAGATAAGTCTGCTTTTTAGCCTGTCCCATGAGAGGTAACCACACTTCTGGTTGACGGTACCCTGGCCTTCAACCCTTCAGGTAGACTGACACGATCACTCCTCTCCATCATGGGCTCTGTAGGCATGTAGCTTCCATCCAACATGACTTTCCTTTCGACAGCTGCAGCCTACTTAGCCCGAGACTTCCACTCGAATGCTGTCCAGGGTAATCTCTAAGGCTTACTTCTCCCTGGTTACACTTTCTTTCATTTTGATTTACAACTATCATTCATTCATTCATTCATTCATTCTTGTTTTCCCCAGGATTGATTTTCATATGGCCCAGGCCTGTTGGGATGACCTCGAACTTCTGATCCTCCTGGTTCAATGACTTCAGAGCGCTGGCATTACAGGTGTTTGCCACTCCCAGATTTCGCTGTGACAGGGAACAAACTCAGGCAATGTGCATGCTAGGCTACCAACACTTATTCTTTATCTCTATCAGAAAGTGTCAATAGAAACCAGTCACCCTTAATAGATATATAATCTAGGGAATGCACTTTCTTTAAGTCTCAAGGGGCTGTTTATTTTGTTGCTTTTAATTGTAAAATAACGCTAAGAGCTCCAGCTACTTAGAATGGCGTTTTACAGTGAGAGTAAATAGTGAGAAATTGAAGATACGACATTAATTTTTCTTGCAACTTTACGTTACTTAGGTTATTTTAAAAGTTTTGCAAGTTCCTTACAAGAAAGATGCCCTTAGAAAATAACGCCAATGAAGATGCTGATTTCACTAAGTTCATTTTCCGGACGGGAACTTTTCTCCTATCTTGGCTGTTAGCTCATAAGCAAGGATAAAATAACTGGAAAGGTCTAGAAGGAATCATTCCACCAGCACACACCCACTGTGAACGTCCAAGACAGAGACTGAGCGTCTATCCCTTCGGGGGAAATGGTGTTAAGGATATGACAGAAGGTATAATTTAATTAATTGCAATCTCAGGATTCTGGCCTTAGCCCTTCGTGACCTTCAGAAAAGCATTAACATCCTAGCCTGGGTCTCCGCTCCTTCTCTCTGCTTGCCCTTACTCCCAAGACTTACTGGTGCGCTCCGACCTGTGGGAAACGCAGTCCCTCCGGATCCAAGCCCAGAGCCCTGTCACCGAGACGCCGAAAGGAAGCGAGGGCTTGCGGTGTCGCACAGGCGGCCCAAGGCAACTTTTCCGCGTCGGGAGGCGCGGGTCCCGGAGGTTCAAGCCCTCCCGCCGCTTAGCAGGTGCTCCGCCGGGGCGCCGGGGCCACTCGCGCCGAGACCACGGGACAGGACAAGTTGCCGCGGGCCGGCCGGGTCGCCCCCGAGCGCAGAGCCCGAGCCCCGCACGCCCGCCCCGCCCCCGAGCAGCTCGGGCTCCAGCGCCCGGCGCGGCAGGTGTCTGGGACGCCGCGGTCGCCGGCGCAAACTTGGCGCGCGGCCGGGCCACCCCCGCGCGTACCTACCCAGCGGCCGCCGCCGCTCCTCAGCCCGCCGGCGCGCCCGCCTCCGAGCCCGGGAAAGCGAAAGAGAAACAGCGCCCGCCGCGGCCTGTCTGGTCCCCGCGCCCTGTCCGCCCTCCCCCAGCAGGCGGGAGCGCGCGGGCTCCACGGGGCCACTCGGCTCTGGCGCGATAGGGCGCGGCGAGCCTCGGGGCCAAGCCGGTGCCGCCTCCAAGGGCAGCTCCACCCACCTCCAACCGCCAGAGCCTCCCGCCCGCCGGCCACGCCCCGTCCCCACGCCCTTCCTCGTGGGCCCCGCCCCTCGCCGCCGGCTCGCCGGTGCTCCTCCTAGGCGCCTGGGCCACCCTGCTTGCCCTGCCCCCCACCCCTGTCGCTCCTGTGCGACGACACGTAGTTGTGGCCAAATTTTATCTCTGTTCTTCTTATCCTCGCCCCCATATCTCCCGGTTGTTTTCATTATAACAATGACCAGTACGTTTTTTTTTTCCCTGGCGGGTTCAAAAGCAACGGTCAGTGTTGAGACTGCGTCACCCCACTAAATTTTCTCCGTGGGGTCAGCGAGATGGCTCAGCCGGTAAAAGCCCTTGCTGCCACGCCTGAACACTTGAGTTCAGTCCCCAGTACTCCACGGCGGGAGATGAGAACGGACAGAACGACTCCTGCAAGTTGTCCACTGACCTCCACAAGGGCGATGTGGCACAAGTGCTCCCGCACACATCCATAGAAATAAATATAATTTAAGATATCAAAAAAAAAAACCCCACTGGATCCACGGGGGTGTGGTGGAGATGAAGACATACCTTGCTATGAACCTTATTTAGAAATCACTATTTGAACTTGCTACAATAAGATGGGTCCAGCAGTCATCCTCACTGGCAAACACAGGTAGACTGGAAATTTGTCGTGAGGACGGTAAGTGCTAAAAATTGATGACTGTTTGCAAGGTTCAAAACAAATAACCCCCTCCCTGCCCCCAGTGCTCTTTCTTGGCGGACTTTGAGATTTCCAAGACACCATTCACCGAAGGAAAAGAAAGATTCCTTGAAAGGCGTCCTGTACTCTTCATGCGATCCTTTTCCACTGCTTTTGCCAAACTCAAATTCCTGCTACTACAACTGTGCTAAGCATGAGCTAGAGCCGGTCCTTCACTCCTTAGGCGACTTTACTCCAGGACTCCTAGGATCCTAGGCAAACCAAGGTAGCCTAGGATCACTTACTGACCAAACATAAAAGGAGCATTTTCCAAAGGGCAAACTGCGAAGGTTCGATCTCACACACCAGAAAGGAAAGAAAAAAAGTTGCAATTCCATCACCTCTTTTGTGAAAGCCAGAGCAAAGGTGGCTAAAGAATTCACAGGGAATGCGGAGCATTTGCATTATCCCCTGGAGACAGACAGGCAGCACCTCTGGCTAGAGACAGAGTTCTGGAGATGGCCAGAGGACCAAACCAACAAAGCCAGGCACACAGGCTTCCGGAGACACATCTCAAACTTAAAATGCACCAAGTAGAACAAGAAACTTTAGAAACCATCCGCATTACGACTAAACTTAGATAAACTGGATGAAAGTAAAACAAACTCAGTTGAATACTGCCACCGAAAGAATACATCTTCACAGAGAACTTTAAGTGATTTCTTTATAATCTTCTTAAAGACTTTTGCAAAACTATGGTTCCAGGATAGGATGACTTGCACGAGACACAGCAATTACAGTAAGCAAAAGAAAACAAGCCATGTCAAGTGACTATAGGCTTCATGTCTTTCAGATGGAACATATCCAAATGGGAAAAGCCAACCTATTTCCAGTCTATTTAAAATATGCACTGGAAGATTCTACTAAAATATTACATGGAAGAACCTGTTGCGCACACTATAGTGTATACAAAATGGCCCAATACTGTTGCAGCTTGTGTCTGAAATTATTTTAAATGTCTTTTGTTTTCCAGAAGTAACAGTCTGTGAAACTCAAGGGAAATGCAATTGGTGATCAATAAATAATCTACCCAGTATTTTCAGAAATGATCTTGATCATGGATTCTAGCAGAGAGGGAGGGTCCATACTTATGCCGCGGGCAGTCCCTGGAGATGGACGCAGCGAGTATGATGGTGGGGCTGAGAGATGGGATGGAGGAGAGTGTCTTAGTCATTCTTATACTGCTGTGAAGAGAAACCATGACCGCAGTGACCCAGGGGAAAGCATTTAACTAGGGGTCTGCTTAACGCCTCAGAGATTTAGTCCACCATCATCATGGCGAGCAGCATGGTGGCAGGGAGCGTGGTGGCAGGCAGGTGGGGTGCTGTAGACACAACTAAGAGCTATAGCCTGATCCCTACAGGCCAAGAGAGAGAATGGGCCTGGCAAGTGTTTTTGAAACCTTCCTCCCCAGTAAGATACTTCCTCCAGCCCTCCAGCAGCAAGGCCACAGCACTTAATCTTTCTAATCCTTCTCAAATATTGTCACTCCTTGACGACTAAGCGTTCGAAATAGATGATCCATGGAGGTCATTCTGAGTCAAACCACCAGTTTGTGATTTATTCTCTCTTCTTAGCAACCACCTGGATTCTCTCACCCCAAAACAGAATAAAGAGAAACAACACACACACACACACACACACACACACACACACACACACACACACATGCGCGCGCGCCCTCCAAACCCCAAACACTAGAGCAATGCTAGTGTACATTCCAACTTCTGACTTCATTTTACAGACAGAAGGCCAGCACCAGAGAAAGCGCAAACCCACAATCACAGTTGATTTGGGGTGCGCCAAGTCCAAAACAAAAATGTCAGTTCAGTTTTATTTACACCCTTTGGAAATTCCCAAGTACAAGAAGTTATGGGATATATAGTAAGCAGAATAACTTAGAAACAACTCCAAAATGTGGGAGGGGAAAGCAAGTTACGGCAGCTATTTTCACCACTAATTAATTAGTAAGTCAATATCAGCTGATTTTAGTGGTATAACTTTTTTGAAAACTAGGGAGATATATTCCCGAGAATTGAATGAATTAATTGATGGCCTGTTGCAGGATATTTGATTGCACTGTGAAACCCCAACACTGTGTTAATAAAATTAACCTTGAATTAGGGGACGAGCCAACGACTAGTTGACAGGAATTAGCCACAGAGAATATGGAGGAGCAGGGATATGAGTAGAGAGACACACAGGAAAGGAGTAGGGAGGGACATGAGGTTCAAAGGCCCTTTTGGTTTGAGGTAGATGAAGAGAAGCTTTCTTGCTGGGTCTCCAGGAAAAAAGGAAGGGCAGCTGGTTGTTTCTCAGCCTTTCTAACAGGTTTTTCGCCCCAATATCTGACTCCTGAGTCTTTATTGGTAAATAGAATAACTTAGATAAAAACAAAAAGCCTTTTCATTTTAAAAATTATTTTATGTACCTCAATATGGGCTTTTAACAGTTATCTTTAATATATAAGCCACCTTCTGTAATCTAAATGTCTTTCTATAAAGAATGTGGAAAATATTAAAATTTAATGGAAGAATTCTATTGGACCCAAGTGCCTTTGTGTTATGACCATAAATATTATAGCTCAAAACCAATGACTGCCTAAAATTCCTGATGGAGAGCTGGGGGGGGGGGGCGGTGTGCTAAATGAAGGCATAGCTCTTCACCATCCTTGACCATGTCTTCTTTTCTCACCACGCCAGTTTCCACGACTGCCAAGGACTCTCTGCCCCCTGTCTCTCGAATCCCTACCCCTGCTTGCCCAGGTCACTACCATCTTCCCTTCATCCCACCAGACACAGAGCTGCTACTCTGTGGCCCTCATCAGAGCCACAGGACTCCTAACAATAGGGTGCCACATCCTGCCCCCACCTTTAAAAAAGCCCCGAGTTATTAAGCGAACTCCAAAACAATTGATAAGGCCACCCTAGATTCCTGTCACCTCCACAGCCCCTCTTGACTTCCAGGATCCAAGCCTCAATGAACCCCTTTGACTTCTGGATAGCTAAATGTTTTTCTTACAATTTGGTACTCTAATCTAATAATCCCTTTGCTCCATCTTGCCCCTGTTAAGTCTGAACAAATCTTTTGTATTTTTTAGGTACCCACTTATTCCACAGAGTATCTCCTGGAGATATCCAAAGCTCCGAGGAGCCTTCTCTACAGACACAGACCACACATACATTTACATGGCAACCCATTTTCTTTGCATGTGTCTGTGGTGTGCACATTTTTAACCTGTGTGGGTACAGGTGTAGAAGTATGTGCATGCATGTGGAGGCCCAAAGCTGACACCAGGTATGTTCCTTCGTCACTTTCCACCATATTCATTGAGCTGTATTTCTAAAGGAATTTAGAGATTGCTGATACAATGGATGGACCACCTGTCTGTCTCCTAAGCATCAGCATCACAGGTGAGAACTACCCAGGATGTATGCAGATACAGGATCTGAACTCTGATCCCCATGCCTGCCTGGCGCATGCTTTACCTGCCATGTCACCGTCTCAGCCCCAAGTACCACATACGTATTCTTTCAAATCACCTATCCTTCTGACTTCAATTGTTCCATTTATTTAGTAGTCTGAACTAGAAGATGAGCACAGTGTATTTGCCCTGGACTATCCAACCCCAATGCAGGTGACAGAGAATAGCACTCACTCAAAGAAATGTTTATTAAACACAGAACAAAACAAACAACAACCGAAACCCAAATAGTTACATTTGAGGATGGAGCCTCTACTTTATTTTTTTTTATTTTTTTGATTTCTTCTAGGGAGAATCTTAACAGAGTATGATAAAGGTATAATCCCTGACTTCTAGGACAGTTAATTAAAATCACACCAGGGAGTGAAGACTTAGCCACAAGACCGAGTTATATAGAAATACACCAGATTTGTTAACGGTGTTAAACAGAACATGACCAAATGGTA